CCTTTAACGAAGAACCACTCTTGTCCATATTTGCTGGTCGCTTTTTTGGCTTTGGAACCACGAGCGTATACGGATCCTCCGTCGCAGCAGGTTTCTTCCTTTTTTTAGTCTTCTTCAACTCCTCATCGACGTTGACCCTTGTCTCCGAGGTCTCTGGCACCGCCTCCTTTTCGGGAGCATCCTCAATGAAATCCCCTTCTAGGGACCTTTTTCTCCCTTTTTTGGAAGTACCCCCTTCATCAAGATTGGCTTTGTCATACCAGATCCTCAGATCATTCGTCCATTCTTCCACCTCATCCAACGAAACCTCAAACGACTTCACTACCTCGTGAAGTTCCAATGGAGTCAACACACCAGTCGTCCAGGAACACCACTCGGCACTCCTCAGCTCTTCGTCACCCTCGAACTTGATGAGCTTGAACACTGGTTCTGCTTCAGCAAATGCCAAATCCGGCTTTCCACCAGACATATATGACACCGCTTCCATCAAAACTCCATCCGTCTGGTATCGTCGTCATAAACCATTTGATCCTCCTCCTCCTCCAGCCTTTCAGGAGAACAGCGTCTTTCACCATCCATTCTCAAGGAGCACTCTATAGATTCTTTCTCCACAGAGTTGCTTTTGAACAGCTTCATCCCATTCCTCTGGAGATATCCGCTGGTCGGCAGACCACTCGTAGTGTTGCCAATCTTCCGTTTTCCAGTCCCATTGACCGTCGGAGGAATTTTGGTACCATTGACCAGCGTACCATGAATCCTGCCACCACGTACCCGAACTGCTGTCTTTCCACTTGCGCAGCGTCGAAGAAGAGTCCTCTTCGTCCTCTTCCAAAATCAGATGGGTGTCCAAGATCACAGTACCATCTTCTTCAACTTTTTTCACCACTGCTTCAAGTATCACCGACCTTGAACAGAGGTGTGTCTTTCCCTTTCGCAGGAATCAATACCTCCAAATCGCCATGCTCCAAATACGCTCCATACGCATTGATGCAGCGAATAAGTCCAATGATCGTATCTCCCTCTACATAGAGCTGCTTCCCCTGTGTAGGCAAGGTTGCCTCATTGGGCCCTTCCTTTGTTTGTTCACCAGAAACCGGCACCATTTCTTCGGCTCCTTGAACATCCCTTGCTTCCACCTGTGGGCCAAGCTGCTTGTCCTGCTCCTGTACGAGTCCCGCAAGATCATCCACCTTGCGCTCCAGGGATTCAGAACCATCTCCTTTTTTAGCCAACGGCTCTGCCTCATCTGTTACAGTCTGCACGGTGTCGACTTCCAGCAAACTTCCAGTCGGCAATGTTTCCTCCTTCTTGGAGGATGAGACCCCACCCGGGTCCTTCACTTTGTCATCCACAGCAGGCACCTTTTCTTCCACTGTAGGATCCTTTGGCTCCATGGTTACCAAAGGAGAAATAACACCACCATCGACCACAGCTGCTCCATTGGCTTCGGTGTGGCCTTCATCATTCTGTTCCTCGCCACCAACTTCAAGCTGCACTAGTGCGTCCACCTGTGAGCCTCCATCGTCGGCTACTACGGAGACCGGAGACCTGCGCTCCATTGTTGCAGTCATCCGCGGAACATGAAACCACATGCGCCTCAACCCGTGCCTCCTCTGCACTCCAGGTTTTCTCTTGCGCACCAGCCCGCACCTCATTGGCGCTCCAGGCCTCATCACCCTTCTTTGGCAAAATACCCGCGTCTCCAGTTATTCCAGAAGCCTCCTTTTGAGTGGTGGAATCCATGGCACCAGACGGAGAAACCTCCTCAGTCGTAACACGCAACCTTTTCTCCATCATCCTCATCTCCAGGACCAACCTCCTGACTGCCAGAGATTTCATCCACCATCTGCTCCTTGGTAACCGACACAGCATTCACCTCCGCATTGGGAATTTTGTCCTCCGGATCCACAGATTTCACCGCTGCGTCACCCTCAGAAAGCGCTTTGCTCCGATCCAGGTGTCCTCCAGCCATGTCCTTTTGGAGACTCAGGTGTCGGAGTAGACGATGAAGGACCCAGTGCAGTCTCCAACTCCAGTTCATTGCCGGGAAGAGAACCAACCACCTCGTCACTTACCATCTTTTCCCTTTCCTCCGGCAGTGTCCACCTACTCTCCTGCGTATCCAGGCAGTAATAATACTGTCTCCCATCTGGGTGGATGTGCCACTCCCACGTTGTCCCGTCACACGCTATGATTGGACGCTCGTCTTTCCTAAAACCTTCTTCTTCGGAGACTTGACGCGTCCCTTCAGCTTCTTCGGACAACTGTCGCAACCTCTCAACCTCCATTTCCAGAATCTCCTCCTCACCCATGGCGTATTCAGCAGTAGGTGCAGCTTCAAAGCTGTCCGCACCCTTTGTTTTTTGTTCATCACCGCCTCCAATGCACATGGAACTCGCTGAGGGATCCCCTTCCATCTTGTTCAGAGATTTCCTGGCAGCTTGTGACACCTCTCCACTCAGAGTGGTTTGAACACTTTGATCAACCATCCGGCCTGAAGATGATGTTGACGGCTGATACCCATGCCTCAGCAACACGCGTAATACTGTCGCCTCCAGTTCACGGTATATACCACCAGTTGCATCCCAGTTCCTCTTTTCCCCAGGCTTTGGCGACACAGAAACAGCTCGTCCTTCACCTTCAGCATTGTTCACCATATCCGCATTGGGATCCGTACATTGGGGCCTTCTGCAACCGCCGCTTCCTCCAGATGTTCTTCTGCAGCACCAGGCATTTCTTCTTCCAGCACCGCTTCTTCAACCAGAGAACCAGTTGCACTATTGTCCACTCCGCCATCAGCTCCACCACTTTTGTCACCATTCGCAGAGGGCTGAAGCCATTTTTTGGGAGAAGGCATTGCTTCTTGAACCCAAAACCCTTGAAAGAAAACACCTTACCGCAGGGAACCGTTTGGGCTCATAACCTACGGGGGCAGCCGAAAGGGGACAGGGAAAGAAATCAAGCCTTAACAGTTGCCTATATGGATTCCCCAGAAAGAACCAGAAGAAAGACAAACCCCCAGGGTTATGATACAAAGGGAAAGGGGCAGGACTCCTCCTTCCTACCAACCCCAAACCCAGACCCACGAACTTTTGAACTTCTGTTGGAAGGCGTACGGCCATCCTTGAGCCAAAATGGACCACGGGTTTTATTAACCCTTTTCAACTCAACAAGGCAACCTCCGCATAGGGTTTAGGGTTTAGGGTTTAGGGTTTAGGGTTTAGGGTTTAGGGTTTAGGGTTTAGGGTTTAGGGTTTAGGGTTTAGGGTGTAGGGTTTAGGGTTTAGGGTTTAGGGTTTAGGGTTTAGGGTTTAGGGTTTAGGGTGTAGGGTTTAGGGTTTAGGGTTTAGGGTTTAGGGTTTAGGGTTTAGTGCTGGGACTCAGGGTTAAAATCAGCGCTCGAGGGGGCACCGAAGGTGGAAAGGGCTGCCATGGCGGTAATGCGAATTGCTGTTTCTTTCCACAAAACACACGTCATGCATGTCGCTGCCTTTACACTGCACATTGGCTTCATGCTATCCTTTGACATGTACTCTTTGACTTTCAACGTCGTGGCTCAAGGGTCACAAACGTAGCCACCCCCTTTGGTTTGTACAAGAAAAGATCGCGGGGTGGTGTTACACGCATCGTCCCCTTCTTGCGAACCATCATCATGTTTGCGCATCAGCACTCCTCCTCATTTTGGGAAGTTCTTTGGACAAAATGTCCTTCTTGATGCGCCTTATCACCCCAACAGCGGGTCTCCTTGAGGCCTTCTGTAGTACAGGGGGTAATGCTCAGCACAACACTGACAATACTTCACAATTCTGAGCTTGGCTTGGTTTGCATGCCTCAGTCCATAACATCCAGCGTGAACATGTACTCGATCTCCATGTTCGGACATCACAAACGACTTGGGCAAGCATCTGAAATCCAGTCTCAGTCTCGCGGCTTGGCTGTCCGTGATAGCCTCATTTGGCGCGTCCACCCTGAAGGCTCCTTGTCCCGAGGTCGCCGATGACGTGCTCTCCGATGACGTAGCCGTCCTGGGAACCTCAGCCTCAGAAGTTCTCGGGGCGGCCTCTGGCTCCAAGTTCTTCAGCTCCTGATGCAAGGCACGCGCTGTCTGGTCCCTGATCCGCAACAGCCTTTTTCCCTTTTTCACAGCGGTCTCGTCGTGGGCTCCCAGCAACCAACCCATGATCTTCTTCACGAGCTCCCAGATTGCCACCAGGGCGACTCCACATACTCCCACACAGACGTAGAACTCCACGCTTCCATCCAGCTCCGTTGGGTTTTTATGTGCTCTTTCTGCCTTAGCACCCTGGGCCATAGTCAAGACAACCATCAGCGCCATAATCTTCACCGCTTCCAACCTCGGCGCCACAATGATTTGGGACATCCGTCCCTCTCTCTGACCCTGCCCAAAGTCCTCTGCAGTGACCATATTCCATAGCTCACGAAGCACGGATAGGCGGGGAGCTGGGACTGGCTTGGTGCCTAAGTCTGCAGGCTGTCCTTCACCAGGCTCATGATGCAGGGTGACGCGCTGCGCCAATACCTCTTGCCGAAGAAAACGCGCCCTCGCACGGAGGTGACGGGTCTTCCACGTCCCCGGGGCAGTGCTTGCCAGCCCCAAAGCCGCCGTATTGTCTACTTTGACGGCTTGGGGTACACTCGCTTGCACTTCACTGGCCCATGCCTGGATGCCCAGGCCCAGCTGATACGCAGCGATCAACTCGTACAACTCCGCCTCCGCGGTGGACATGTAATCAGTCCTTGTGTTGTCATTCTCCAGGCGACGAAGCCTCCGAACAACGCCACTGCGCTACAGCCGAAGGACTTTCCTCCCCCCGGCGCGAAGCTAGCGTCAGAAAACGTTTCCACCGCCTGCTGTGAGCCGCAATAGACCAATCCCATGTCCTGCGCGTTGAGGAGATATCGGCGCACATGGTGGGCCAGGCGGATGGAGGCAGCTGCATTCTTTGTAGCCATGGCGCAGACGTGGCTTGTTGCGAAGCTTATGTCCGGTCTTGTCCTCGTAGCCAGCCACAGCAATTCTCCGGGAGCAGCTCAAGCCGGATGAGCTCTTCATCCGTCTCGCCGCCATCCTCATCTCCCTCCTCCCAATGTGGGATGAGGTCCTTTGTCGCCGGCACCTGTGCAGGCTTGTCATGCTCCATGCCATACTCCCGGATCAGGTCGGCAATGTACCCCCCTTGGCTGACATGGTAGTGTCTTCTGCCTTCGCACACTCGGCTTTGCACCTCCATACCAAGATATCGCACAGGTCTTTTGCCAACCCATTCCAGCTCAGAGCACTTCCACCCATCTTCGCCGTCGCCTCCCTTTGTGAGCCAAGCATACATGCTCTTGACCTCATCCTTTCCCCCGAGGAACATCACGTCATCCACGTAGATAATCATCATGGCGATGGTCTCCTCCTCATCACCCACGGGGACCAGCCTCCACACTGCTGGATCCGTTTCCATCTGTACGAACTTGCAACCACGTTGCCCCACGCGGATCTTGGCTCTCCTAATCCTCCGATCTCGAAAGTTGCCCCACAGCCGCGGCGCCTCCTTCAAGCCGTAAAGGAGTCTCTCCACCAAGTAGGCGGTGTTTGGCTGCGCACATCCGGCATCAACGACCACCTTCGGGACTGTGATGGCATAGCGTACGCTTGACTCCGACATTGGGGTAAGGGTGAAGGCGGATGCTATGTCCGTGATCGCTGCGTCCCAATTTCTTTGCACTGCAAACGCCAGCCCACATCTCAGGCTCTCAGCGCTGGCCGCCGTGGTGAAAACTTCTGTGTCGCCCTTGATGTAGTTGCCGCAGATCACGAGCCTTGTCTTCCTCTTAAAGAAACTGAGGTCCTCGACGTTCACGGGGCCTTCCTTGCCCGCTATGTCCTGGGATCTTTCCTCCTCCTGTTCCTCCTTGTCCGTGATCACTGCCGCATCAGGGGGCTTTGCGGTATGCACCGTCTTAGCCGGCACCAGAGTAATCTCTCCACGATCTTGTAGCCGCTTTGCTTCCTGAAGAGGGATTGGAACCAGGGTGCCATTGCCTTCCAGGTGGTTAACCTCCTTGGCGATGCTCGGTATCCATACTGGCAAATGTGCTTTGACTTCGGGCAGGGCTACGGTGTGCGTCACTGTGAGGGGCTCCTTCAAATCCTTCAGGATGTCTTCCACATTCTCCGTGGTAGTGTCAGCGGCTATCTTTGCAATGCGAATCCCTCTTTGATTGATCGCCTCCAAAGACCGCTCTTCTCGCACCACTGCATCTTCCAACAGGATTTCCTCCACGAAGTCGAGCTCCTCCTCTGCGTCCACAACCTTTTCATTCATGGACTCGTCAACACCTTCTCCTTCTTCTTCCAATTGGTCCGCGCACATTGCCTCTTGAACGATAAAGGCCCTTAGCGCGCTGGCCCTCTGTTCCAACCACTCTCTTTCTTCCCCTTGCAGCGGCATATTCGGCACCGGATCCAAGGCCTTTTCTTCATTCTTGGCTTCCTCCGGCTTGTAGCTCATTGACCACTTCGTCTTCAAGCTAACTCTACCTCCTGGGATCACCAGCTCGTCCTCCGGTGGATGGACGAAATCTTGCACCACCGGTTACACGCATGCTTCAAACGATTGCGGCGTCAAACCCCGCACCCCCTTCTTAACATTGATCGTAAGGTAGCCTTTCACAACCAATGTTAAAAAGGGGGTGCGGGGAATCATGAAACGGCGTTTCTGAAAAGCGGTGCAAGATTTTGTCCATCCACAGTCCCTTTCAGCGAGTGTTGCCTGGTACGTTTGACAAGCATGAATAATCTCACGGTGTGAGGCCTGCTATGGGAATGCGAGTACGCTCAGCTGCAATAACACAGCTTTTCAGACGGTGATGCATTGGCTCTGTGCGTGGATACCATTCGCAGAAGGCAAGTGCTCAAAGCCAGTTCATTGGCACTGCGTACGAATTAAGGAATCGAGCGAAGCAGGTCGCACACTCTGGAATCTTACGCGTGCTCACGGGGAAGGGCACGGCAAATGTGAAAATGCGAAGACGGCGCAGCAACATGGTCCACTCACTGGGCCTGCCCAACTGCGCAGCCTCACGGGCCTTGGCAATAATGGGCTCTAGCTCCTTTTCTTTGCAGGTCACGAAAATAGGAGCTGTGCCTTGATACAGCAGATGCCCATTGAACTCCTTGTTCTGTGGCCTGGTCAAAGGAAACGGTTTGCCTTCATACCAGAGCAGTTGCGTGGAGAGCGCCAGCACCGATGTGTCAAAGGCCCACTCGTCGAGCAGAACTGCTTTCCGGCGTTCAAGGCCGAGCAGCGGGAAGGATCCGGGCTGAGGTGTGGCCTGCACATTCTCCACACCAAAGAGACTGCGGAGCGGAGAGAGCAAGAATGACTTGCCTTCGCCACCAAAGCGCCCCGTGAGAACTACAACCGGAACGTCTTCACGCCTTCCCAGAAAGAGACTGCGCTCGAGATGCGAGCAGATGTCCGGAATGTAGATGTGGTTGCGCTGCAGCACTTGGACCGCGCATTGCAGCCACATCCCACCGCACTGGCAAGGCTCCGTCAAAGCTTGCTGGAGGCGTTGCTTCCGCGTCAGGGCATTGACCTGGAGAAAGTCGTCAACATCCTCCCAAGACCAGACATCGTCGATGATGCCTGGAAGCTTTTGCCGGTTTTTGAAGGCAAAGCTAACCAACCCAGGAGACCCATACTGCTTCAACCACTGGATCAGCCGCTCGGCGGCCGTGTGGTCGTCGTCAGAATTGCGGAAGCCATGCCGTACAACGATGGAGTAGAGGTCGATCTCGGAAGGCCGAGGCTCCGGCTTGCCTTCCTCAGAGGCAGCTTTGACCTTGTTCTCCCTTCGCCTGCTCAAAGCGCTTGCAGTTGTAGGTTCCTGACAAACCTCAAACAACTTGCGGTGGCAGCCGTTCGGGTGTGGGGGTGTGGGGGTGTGGGGGTGTGGGGGTGTGGGGGTGTGGGGGTGTGGGGGTGTGGGGGTGTGGGGGTGTGGGGGTGTGGGGGTGTGGGGGTGTGGGGTGTGGGTGTGGGTGTGGGTGTGGGTGTGGGGTGTGGGGGTGTGGGGGGGTGTGTGGGTGTGGGGGTGTGGGTGTGGGGGGGTGTGGGGGTGTGGGGGTGTGGGGGTGTGGGGGTGTGGGGGTGTGGGGGTGTGGGGGTGTGGGGGTGTGGGGGTGTGGGGGTGTGGGGGTGTGGAAGGGGTTTGGATCCAAGGCGTCCTGTGGCTTGGTAGGACTTGGCATGTAACCGTACCTCACCGCAGACCAGTACCCGGTGTGCGAGCAGCTCCAATGGCTTGCTATGCCATGGTGCACAGAAAGCGCACGCTTGAAGCAAAGCGGAAACAGGAAGCCGCTTTGCTTGGTTTTGAGCTGCTGGATGAAGAACCTGGATGGCACAAGCGCATTTGCCTCCGTCTAGAGACGGTTGCAGAGCAGCCGTTGGTCCATGTTCAGCAGTCTTACCTGCAGGAGGAAAGTCTGCAGCCGGAGTGCTCACAAGCCTCCAAGCAAGTCTACCTTGTCACGCTGCCAGCCCTCCGCCGCCTGAGCGATGCCGACTCCGAGCCTGGACTGCAGTGCCCGAGCACATGGGACCACGAAACTGTGGCTCGTGTCCTCTTGGATGCTTTTCAGCGCCCTGTGCGCAGCAACAACAACGCATCATGGGGCCACACAGTGCAATTGGAGGCATTCGTCGTCTTCCGAGAGTCTTCTCCCTCAACCGTCGCTGCGGACGACTGAGCACGGCCGGCATGGCAAGAAGGGACTACTCACTGCACCTTTCGCTGACAAGCCGGTGGCTTCAGTGGCTTTAACTTTGCTTGCGCTCCCAAGTCGCAAGGTGCCGCAAACACATGCAAAATGACAGTCAACACTCAGTCAACACTCAGTCAACACTACAGTCAACACTACCAAAACACTGGGAAAACCAGCAAATTCCACAATTTGCTCGGTTTAAGAGAAAATAAAGGTTTTTTTAGGTTCTAAATGTCCAGACAGGGGCGTGCCTAAAACCACGAATGTGCTTAACATTTAAATTATTATAAGTAGGAGAGGGTTTAGGATCTTCAGGGGGTCGGGGCCCCAGGGTTTAGGATTTTCACGGGGTCGGGGCCCTAGGGTTTAGGATTTTCACGGGCGGGGGCATGCTAAAAATTACGAATGTGCTTAACGTTTAAATTATTATAAGTAGGAGAGGGTTCAGGATCTTCAGGGGGTCGGGGCCCCAGGGTTTAGGATTTTCACGGGGAGGGTTTTTCACTGGCGTCGAAGGGCCAGGGTTCAGGTTTTTCATTGGCTTCGGAAGACCCAATAAAACCTCTCTCGGCTCTACATCATTTGATGCGCTACGTTCATCAGTCCAAAGGTCACAAGATGATCGGATGGGTTGGCGATTCCATGGAGGGTTGTATGCGGATGCGGATTACGCTGGTTGTGGCGAGAGTTTACGTTCGACTTCGGGGGCACACATGCACATCCAGGGACCGCACACGCGGTTCCCGTTGGCGGGCGTCAGTAAGCGCCAGGGTTGCGCCAGTCACTCCACTCCCGAAGTGGAAATAGTGGTGGCGGATTACGCCATGTCGCGCATTGGCATCCCAGCTATAACATTGTGGCGTTTGATTGGGGGCAAAGACCCCAACTTCGTGTTTTACGACGACAACCAAACCATGATTGGTGTGGTCCGCACAGGCAAGAACCCGACGATGCGTCATTTGGAACGTTCGCACGGGATCTGCTGAGGCACCTCTAGATAGGCGTCTTTGACGTCTATAGCACATATTGCGTATTGCTCTTGCCTCGTCGCTCACCACAAAAGGAAAAGGATCGGAATGAGTCTCACCATGTTTGTCGTGGTACTTGGGGAAAATAGCCCTTGTTTCTCTTCCAACCAGCGGTACTCTCTTGCCACTAGCCTGGAACGTCGAAGATAATGAGGCACCCCATTCCGCTTCTTTGACCTCCAAGTTCTGAGGTACGGTTACATGCCAAGTCCTACCAAGCCACAGGACGCCTTGGATCCAAACCCCTTCACCTGGGCTCGGAACGGCTGCCACCGCAAGTTGTTTGAGGTTTGTCAGGAACCTACAACTGCAAGCGCTTTGAGCAGGCGAAGGGAGAACAAGGTCAAAGCTGCCTCTGAGGAAGGCAAGCCGGAGCCTCGGCCTTCCGAGATCGACCTCTACTCCATCATTGTACGGCATGGCTTCCGCAATTCTGACGACGACCACACGGCCGCCGAGCGGCTGATCCAGTGGTTGAAGCAGTATGGGTCTCCTGGGTTGGTTAGCTTTGCCTTCAAAAACCGCCAAAAGCTTCCAGGCATCATCGACGATGTCTGGTCTTGGGAGAATGTTGACGACTTTCTCCAGGTCAATGCCCTGACGCGGAAGCAACGCCTCCAGCAAGCTTTGACGGAATGAAGAACCTGGATGGCACAAGCGCATTTGCCTCCGTCTAGAGACGGTTGCAGAGCAGCCGTTGGTCCATGTTCAGCAGTCTTACCTGCAGGAGGAAAGTCTGCAGCCGGAGTGCTCACAAGCCTCCAAGCAAGTCTACCTTGTTACGCTGCCAGCCCTCCGCCGCCTGAGCGACGCCGACTCCAAGCCTGGACTGCAGTGCCCGAGCACATGGGACCACGAAACTGTGGCTCGTGTCCTCTTGGATGCTTGAGAGTCTTCTCCCTCAACCGTCGCTGCGGACGACTGAGCACGGCCGGCATGGCAAGAAGGGACTACTCACTGCACCTTTCGCTGACAAGCCGGTGGCTTTAGTGGCTTTAACTTTGCTTGCGCTCCCAAGTCGCAAGGTGCCGCAAACACATGCAAAATGACAGTCAACACTCAGTCAACACTTAGTCAACACTACAGTCAACACTACAGTCAACACTACAGTCAACACTACCAAAACACTGGGAAAACCAGCAAATTCACAATTTGCTCGGTTTAAGAGAAAATAAAGGTTTTTTTAGGTTCTAAATGTCCAGAAGAGCAAAATGCTGGTTTTTCCAGCATTTTGGCAGTGTTGACTGTAGTGTTGACTGTAGTGTTAACTGAGTGTTGACTGAGTGTTGACTGTCATTTTGCATGCCTTTGCTGGTTTTTCGAGGACTGAAGCGGCCAGATTACAGTTTCCAGCGTTTTGGCAGCGTTTCGGCAGCGTTGACTGCGTCTTGACTGCTAAGACTCTCCCCAGGGCCTAGGCCTTCGGGCCAGCCTGTCAGCAGCAACGGCAAGTCCAAGAAGGTTCTGGCCTGAGCTGCATGGTTTTACATTGGACCCGTGACCCAATCGCAGTTCTGCATGACATCCGAATCTACAGAGTCTGACTCACACGCCCGGCAGTTGCAGCTCGCAGTTCAGATGCTTTGGCATGGGCTGCTTGCTTTGCAAGTGCCAAGATGCCACGATGAAACGACATGGCTCTGAGTCAGCAAAGACCATCATGCGCCGACCGATGCGATCAACGGCATCTGTAGCTAGGCCAGACGGTCTA